GACAACGATTTAGTAACTTGAGAAATCGACACAATAACTCGAACAAGCGACTAAGTAACTCGAACATTCGACCCAGTAACTCGAACATTCGACTCCATAACTTTACAGTTACTTACTCAAACTTTTCAGTTAGTTGGGGTTTTTCGAGTCACTATAATGTAACGATGGCCAATGAAGTCTTCCGTAGAAAAGAATTGAGCAATAACAGTGCACTGTATATATAAATTGTAATATTGCTGATAAACGACATGGACAGAGGTTGTTACAGTGTGATAATCACTATATTGTGTAATCTTCATTACGAGAGTCTGGAATCATAAAAACTAGGTAAGTTAATAACATTATATTACAAGGACAGTGGAGTAACTGACACGCCCATCACTATAATAATCATCTATATCGATACAAAATTCAGAGCGAAATTTTTTTTTTCACACAAGAGAATATTTGACTATACATGTTTATAATATATATGTGAATATAGATATTGACAATATGTTTGAACCAAAAAATAGCAAAAAAATAATTTGTTAGCAATCACCATTCCCATTGTGATTTAACAATTACTCTGAAACTTTATGATATGACTTCTCTGGCATCACCTGTGGTGTTTGAAGGTATCTTCGGGTGACGCTAAAACCAGAGATATAAAGGAATATATATATTGAATAAGCAAAATTAAAGAGGCAATATGCAATATTTTAATTTGTTAATTGAAATATCTGAGATTAGTAACTTGAGAAATCGACACAATAACTCGAACAAGCGACTAAGTAACTCGAACATTCGACCCAGTAACTCGAACATTCGACTCCATAACTTTACAGTTACTTACTCAAACTTTTCAGTTAGTTGGGGTTTTTCGAGTCACTATAATGTAACGATGGCCAATGAAGTCTTCCGTAGAAAAGAATTGAGCAATAACAGTGCACTGTATATATAAATTGTAATATTGCTGATAAACGACATGGACAGAGGTTGTTACAGTGTGATAATCACTATATTGTGTAATCTTCATTACGAGAGTCTGGAATCATAAAAACTAGGTAAGTTAATAACATTATATTACAAGGACAGTGGAGTAACTGACACGCCCATCACTATAATAATCATCTATATCGATACAAAATTCAGAGCGAAATTTTTTTTTTCACACAAGAGAATATTTGACTATACATGTTTATAATATATATGTGAATATAGATATTGACAATATGTTTGAACCAAAAAATAGCAAAAAAATAATTTGTTAGCAATCACCATTCCCATTGTGATTTAACAATTACTCTGAAACTTTATGATATGACTTCTCTGGCATCACCTGTGGTGTTTGAAGGTATCTTCGGGTGACGCTAAAACCAGAGATATAAAGGAATATATATATTGAATAAGCAAAATTAAAGAGGCAATATGCAATATTTTAATTTGTTAATTGAAATATCTGAGATTAGTAACTTGAGAAATCGACACAATAACTCGAACAAGCGACTAAGTAACTCGAACATTCGACCCAGTAACTCGAACATTCGACTCCATAACTTTACAGTTACTTACTCAAACTTTTCAGTTAGTTGGGGTTTTTCGAGTCACTATAATGTAACGATGGCCAATGAAGTCTTCCGTAGAAAAGAATTGAGCAATAACAGTGCACTGTATATATAAATTGTAATATTGCTGATAAACGACATGGACAGAGGTTGTTACAGTGTGATAATCACTATATTGTGTAATCTTCATTACGAGAGTCTGGAATCATAAAAATCTAGGTAAGTTAATAACATTATAT